AAGAGACTGTTAAGAGTGGCAGCAGAAAGACTGAAAGACCAGGTCTCCTGCCCAGGGCCTTGTCCAGCACCTGGTCCCTGCACAGCAGAGAAAGCTTTTTCCCAGGCGTGTCTCAGACCAGGTCAGCCTCTCTGGTTGCCACTGTATGACATAAAAGTAGACCCAAATGAGGATTAAGCATAACGACATTGGCTTAAATTTCAATTAAACCACTAAAGCTAGTCTTCAGGTATAAAGTCCCCAATTACTTACCCAAATGTTTCCATCAGACACACTATTTATTACTCACAGATTCTCGGACCTTGATGATGGAACCCCAATTGATAACCCTGACTTTGGATGTTTTAAGTATCAGAACCCCCCTTTCTAGAAAATACAAATGGGATTTTTAAAATATCTCTAAAGGAGCAGACTAGACTAGCCTGGTCATTTATGTCACAGCTTCAAAGCATGAGCATGATCGAAGCCGCAGGAGTCCAACCTGGACAGCAGCGACCGGCTTCTCCACTTCTGGCGTTTCCTCTGAAAACAAGGGTTCAAAATCATTGATGTTTTCCACGTCTTCCAGGGACGGCTCTAGTGGCTCTAGGTCAGGGGTCTAAGAATAGAATAAACAAAACAGAACAGATCCTGTAACTTCAGCGAGCCTTAGTTCTATTAGTTCACTTCACGAGAAAGGACTGAAACCTCCCAATGGTCTAAACTATGAAAAAATGAAACCATGAAAAAATTTCTAAAGTATTTAAGGAAAGAACACGCATGAACACAAGGATTAAAAGACTGAAAAGCCAGGAATGGGCTTTGCTCTTGTCCCCCGCCCTGCTTCCTACTTATATAACCTCAACTCCTACCTTCTCTCTGAAGCCTTCTGATGGGCCCACCCACACCTGGGGCACAGTGGGAGCCCTGCTGCCTGCAGGAGTCACACCACCACACACAGAACTCGGGGGAGAGGGTGTGATACCTGGTGTCTTACAAAGTGGCTTAGACTACCAGCAAAATTAAGTAAATCTCTTCATAATTAGTAGATATACATGCCAATACCAACGGGCTGGTGATGTGACTGAAAGCTCCCGGATGGCGGAATGCTTCCTGTCTGTGGAACAGGCTTTCCTCTTCAACAGTGAACCTGGCTGGCCTGACATGCTGGTACCATCCCCATTGGAGGATTTAGAACTCATTTGCATTTGACCTGGTTAAAGGGGACAGGTGGGAGTGGGAGTGGTTCTGGATGGCATCTTCAGCCACCTGTGGTGCTGCCACATGAAAGGCAGGTGAGTTTCACCTTCTGGACTCAAATGGGAGAATTACAGAAAGAAATATTCTGTTGTATTCCATGGAAGAATGCTCTAATAATGACAGCTGTTGTAGAAAGGACTGTCTTAAGAGATGGTGTCTTGGGAGGGTTCGGGCAGACTCGATACCATCAGCTGAGCATGCCTAGCCTATCCATATATACTACAATGTAAACTAGCATTCAAACTGCCCTTCCACATTCCTCCAACACACACACACCCCAAAAAAGTCACGTGGCATATGTGGCTCAGAGAGGGGTGACAATGCATTCTAAGAACTGACCAATATAGATGGCCTATCATATGTAAGAGGAGGGTAAACCCTGGAAAGGACAAGGAATATTTCTTCATCTGGGACTAGAGAACAGGATGAGAGGCACTGGCTTAGAAATAGGTAATTTAAGGAGGCGAGAACCTAAGAACCTTGCTCTTGGCAAAGGAGGTGAGAGCATCTCTGCCAACAATGATCTGACTCGGAGCAGGACGCCTGCTGCCTGGCATGATCCTCACCACGGATAACCTACACTTTATGGTGAGGAAACCAAGAGTCAGGAGGCTTAATAACTTGCCCATGACCACAATACACCAGAAAGTGGTAGAAACCTGGCCTAAAACAGAACTTCTTAGCTCCAAATTCTGGGCTCTGCCTTAAGTTGAAATTCTGAAGTCATGATGTCCCACAAAAACTTTAAGAAACTTGAAACCTAGCTCTTTATCTTCCTAAGCCTGGAAGGCTTTATCTTCCAACCACTGCCTTTCAGTGAGATCACAGTGTCTCTGGAATCGATGGCTGCTCTGAACCTCTGCTGCACTACCTCTAACTGTGCAACCTTGGGCGAGTTTCTTCACTCCCGTAAGTCTCACTTTTCTCATTCGTAAAATGGGAGTGATGACATTACTTGTTGAAGAGTAAAAATTAATCAAGATGACAGTTGCAGAAGAGCTCAGTGCTGGTTCTGCCCATGTCAAGTGTTCCATTATCATCAGTCATTGCCACTCCTGTCACCTCTGCTTCTAACTGGCACCAAGATCACTAGATCCTACATTTAAGTGTCTCTTCCTCCACCCTCTACCCCCAAGACAAATTTCAAGTCAACTACAACACATTTTTATCCTCTCTTCCCACCTTCAGCCTTGCCTCTCCCTAAACCATCTTCCTAACAGCCTCCAGTTATTATCCTAAAATAAAATCTCATCAGATGACTTCCTTGCTCACCATACTTTGAAGGCTTTGTCTATCTGAGAAATAATATCCAGGTTGATTGGTAAAGGCCTTGGCCTCCCTCTCCTGACTTCATCTCCCACACTCTACATGCCAAATGTGCCATGCTCCCTGCCCATGTGGTTCTTTCAATCTGAAATGTCCTTCCCTCTTCATGCTTATGGAAATCAAATCACCTTTCTGGGCCCAGCTTAAATATTCCAATCTTTTCTTAGAACTCCATCTGCATTTCCACACATACCTACCATTCCTGACAAGCTTTTTTTACAGTCCACTAAGTATGGTTCTACAGCTCTATTTTTTTTAAGGCACCAAGAAGGGCAGGAACTGTATCTTTTTAAAAAAAATATTTTTTTATTGATTTCAGAGAGGAAGGGAGAGGGAGAGAGAGATAAAAACATCAATGATGAACGAGAATCACTAATCAGCTGCCTCCTGCATGCCCCACACTGGGGACTGAGCCCACAACCCGGGCATGTGCCCTGACCAGGAATCGAACCATCACCTCCTGCTTCATAGGTCAACACTCAACCACTGAGCCATGCAGGCCGGGCAGGAACTGTACCTTAATCACCTCTACAACCCCAGTCCCTGGCATACCACACCTAGCTGTCAGTGGTGGACACCTGTGATACACCCTCTCGTTTTCCTAGAATAAAGATGTTTGGGTTTCAAAAGCTTCTTCAGCTACAACAAAAGTATCACTCATCTTCATCTAGCCATATTCAAAAGCATGGCACCTTAAAAAATAAGATAACTTGTTAGCGTCACTAAAAATGGTAAAGAGATATTTTACCTATCCCAATTCACATGATTCACAGAGGAACAAAGCTAATAATTTCTACGCAGAAAACAGCATCCAAAAAAGAATACAGCTCTCTAGCATGGCTGGCTTCTCTCCGTCTAGGGCTTGCCAGGGTCTTCACGTGCATTGTGTGGTGTTCAGAAATACAAATATGACTGTTCTTTTTGAAACTGAACAGAATGACGGTTTGCCAAATCACAGCAGGAAGGATGCAGCATGGGTGCCTGGAACAGCACAGGACCAAGCAGAGGCCAGTTCTGATGCCAGCTGGTCGGGCAAAGGAACTTTCTATATGGGGCCCATAGTGTTTCCTAACAAATGACAGCGCTCTAAAACCATGGAAGTGGGCACCTGCAGGTTTAAATGCCTCATCAGCAATGCTAACAGAGCCTACTCCTTCACAACATCCTCCTCGGAATACTTGCACAATAGTAAGAGCAGGAAAGGATTGGTCTGTAGATAAAAATGGATTTTAGAAAATATTAAGTTAAAAAATTTAGCTATATTAATCTAATTCAGCCATTAATGCTTGGATGGCATTTTAATATGAACTTTGGTCCACATAAATCCATTCTCTCCATTCTAAGTGAATAGTTAGAAAATACTACAAATACTTTCTGGAAGGCAGAACTGTCCAGCCAGAGTCATGGTCAAATTTATCCCAGGAAGATTACAGTAATAAACTCCAGTCACTAACAAGCACCTTTAATAAATGTCCGCCGACCATTAAAGCTCTGGGGACAGATCAATTAATCAAGTTTGTTGTATACAGAGAAATCTTTTGAAGTTTAACATTTCAAAATCTCCCTAAGCCCAGAGAAATTTAATATGTACCCCCTGAGCACAGAACAAAGTAGGCACCAGCACGTATCTGCTGACTGAATGAAGGAGTGGCTGAATCATGGCATGAAACCAATGCAGAAAAGGGAACCAAAGAAAAGAAAAATTAGTTCCCCAACTGCTCAAGAATCACATCTTCAAAGTTGTTTGTTTTCCTTTTAAACCTGCCAGTGGCTTAGTGCAGTGGTCGCCAACCTTTCGGACCTCACGGACCACCAGTGGTCCACAGACCGCTGGTTGGCGACTGCTGGCTTTGTGCACATTTCTGGTGTAAGGATGCTGATGTCCTGGTGACATGTTAAACATAATAAAAACTAAATATGGATGAATAAACAACAAAGACAACTTGGTCCTAGATCCCAGTAAACAAGAGCTCAAACTGAAACACAAACCTGACAAGTGGGAGAAGCAAACTAGAACATGCATGTTGGTTCCACCGAAGCGGATCTGGGATGCTGTGTGCAAATAAGATAGTAGGAAAGGTCCCTTCTAGCTGAGATCTCAGTGAGCCATAAGCTGTACCTAGGACACCTGACTCGGGATCTGCTCTAGCAAATAGGCATGCTCAGGATCAGGGGCTGTCCCCGTGCAGTCAACAGCCCGTCAGAGAGAGGTAAAGAATGCGAGGTGGAAGCAGGAACTGAGAGAGCCTCCAGCTATGGGATGGTCACTGGGAAAAGCTACTTTCATGCTAAGCCAAACAGTTCCGAAGTCTCTGGTAAGCACCAAATTACACCCAGCATCAAACTGGATTTTCCTACAGGACTGTTTCTTTCTAAGTGTAGGTTTTAGATTTAAAGAAATATTATTTTTAAAAAACAACAACAACACAACAATAGTAGGACTGGTTACTTCTGCCCCTGAAGTGTCACAAGTTCCTTTGTTTTAGAATTCTAGAAACGATAGATTCAGGAACAGTGAGTACACTTACACAGTTTTCCAGCTTTAAAGACAGAAGAGCCAACTAGCGACCTCTGGCTGAGGTGTGACCTACAGGCAGCCCCTTCACCACACAGGGCCCACAACAGCATTTGGATTACCCATGGCCCTACCTCAGCCCTGCCCCTTTGGCCACATCAACACTTATTAATAGTCCACTGATAGGGAAACAAAGAGAGAGAGAGAGAGAGAGAGAGAGAGAGAGAGAGAGAGAGAATATCAAAGACCTTATTCAAGACAGTTTTTAGTAACAAAAGGCTGATCTTCAACCAACATTTTACTGAGCATGCCATTTGCTGTAAAAAATGCATCCAGCAAATGCATTATATATGCAGCATGATCCCTGTCCTTAGAGAACATTAAGATGGAAAGGAGGTAAGTGAAAGATGAACCACAATCTATAATAATAATCTATAATAATAAAAGCATAATATGCTAATTAGACCAGACAGAGGATGACCTTCCAGACGAAGTCAGTGCTACGAGGGAAGCCCGGGTCCAGGATGTCTGCCGGCAGCCGGAGGAAAGCCTAGATCCCAGGAAGCTGGTGTCGGCAGCCGGGGGAATTTCGTGCATAGGGCCTCTAGTAGACTTAATAAAGCAATGAAGGAAGTTAAAGGGTATGTATGACTAACTGCCAAAGAACCATCACAGGAGCAGGTTCAGGTTTAAGACAGCACCACACAAGTGGTGTGTGAATGTTCTTCCTACTCTACACACACACACTTCCCCATCCCTGGGGAGCCAGAGGTCTACAGGGTGAAAACCCTTGGGTCAGAACTTCAGTTGGTACAGGTTAGTGCTATCATTGCCCTGCCAGTGTACCTGTGGACATCACTCACCACACCAGCTCTCTTTCCCCCAAGTCTGGTCACAGCCTTTTATATCAGCCTTCTCCAGACACTCCTCCCACACTCAGGAAGGTCTACTATCTCTACATGACGCCCCTCCCCAAAACACTCAGTACCTCAGGCTTGCTGTCCACCACATCCACCTCGAGGGTGACTTCGGATTGGAGGATTTTCTGCTTAGCTTGCTCCACGGCCGAACTGAGCTTGTGTATGTAGGACTGCAGCTCTTCTGGGGAGTCCATGTTCAGCTCCATCAGGGCTTTGTGAAATTGATCCATCTGGCCATCCTCTAGAAGTTCCTGAAACCAGAGCAGTCACCACTCATCCTCAAAGTCATCAGTGTAATCACATACAGGAAGGAAAGAGAAGTAGCTTAGAGCCAAACAGAGAACTACAGTAGGACAGGGCTCCTAGGGCTCCTCAGCCCACCCCACCACAAAACCACACCTCCCCACAAAGTGTCCCACAGTTGTCCTCCCCAGCTGTCTCTAGGCTGCCATGGCATCATGGTTTCACCACTACCTGACCAGGCAAACTAACCGATGGTGACAGACATCAGAAACGTTGTCATCTTTTGGGTGGGGAGAAGTGAAAGGTTACTAAGAGTAGGCAGGAGGAGAGAGACTGCTGGGATGCTGTTAATGCTCTATTTCTGGATCTGGAGAGCAGACACACGGTGTGTTTCACATTGTGAAAATGCATGAGCTGCAAACTTCAGATTTGTGCACTTTGCAGCATGTGTGCTACACTAACATTAAAAAATTAAATAATAAAATAAAGGAGATTATAAGGCTGACATAAATCAACAAAGCCAGAGTCCACAGCTCTTTCAAAAATACGTGCTGCTATCCCATCCTCTGTATTAATGATCCAAGACTCCTTCGTGACCCCAAGGGCAACTGAGTTGATGCACTTTGTGGGTAAGAAAGAATATACAGGAGGAGCATTTGCTGAGTAAAGCCGGGGGCCCATCTGGGATCTGCTGTTACCTGCACGTACTGCAGTCTGTCTAGCCGCTCCTGATCAAGCTGCAACTTCTCCTCCCGCCGCCGGGCATTCAGCTCCTGCAGCCGACGCAGCTGCTGCTGCCGCCTTTCCTGCTTCTCCTCAGCGGTCAGAGTGCTGCCGAGCAGTTTACTGGAAAATGGGAGCTGCATCTTGTGCACATTGTTTTCATAATAGTCAGGGCACCGCCATTTCTGCAATTCTTCAAATAAATAAATTTGAAAGTTATGAAATAGCAATACTACTAGCACAGAAATTAGAAAGATAATACCAGGATTCTAGGTCTGTGTAAGATAAAGAGCATATGCCATACAATCTCTGAACTACCTAATCAACAAAATGCAGCCATAAAATTGGACATGATGCCAACAGACCTCCTCTAAAATAATTGCTAAGTACAGGTCTTCAGACAGAAATGATACCAGAAGGAAAACTGGAAAACCAGGAATGTACAAAGAGCAATGGAAATGATGAAAACCTGGTTAAATGTAACAGATGAACCTCTTTTTGAGTTTAAAATGTTTGACAATTAAAAGTAAAAACCAGCCGAAACCGGTTTGGCTCAGTGGATAGAGCGTCGGCCTGCGGACTGAAAGGTCCCAGGTTCGATTCCGGTCAAGGGCATGTACCTGGGTTGCGGGCACATCCCCAGAGGGAGATGTGCAGGGGGCAGCTGGTCGATGTTTCTCTCTCATCGAGGTTTCTAACTCTCTATCTCTCTCCCTTCCTCTCTGTAAAAAATCAATAAAATATATTAAAAAAAAAAAAAAAAAGTAAAAACCATACGCTGTCTGTCAAGTTCCCAATGTTGTGGATGATTACATAAGACAACTCCAGCACAAAGGAGGAAAGAGAAAGGAGTCACTAGCATGCTAACATTTCCACATTCTACTTGAAGTGATAAAACAGTGATTCTAAGTAGACTGTGTAAAGTATGTTTATTGTAACCTCTAGAGCAATCACTGAAAAAACTACAGAAAGGTATAGTAAAGCCCAGCCAGCATGGCTCAGTGGTTGAGCGTCGACCTATGAACGTAGGAGGTCATGGTTCAATTCCCAGTCAGAGTTGTGGGCTTGATCCCCAGTAGGGGGTATGCAGGAGACAGCCAATCAATGATTCTCTCTCATCATTGATGTTGCTATCTCTCTCTCCCTCTCCCTTCCTCTCTGAAATCAATAAAAAAATTTTTTTAAAGACATAGTAAAAAAACAACAGATAAAATGGAATACCAAAAATATTTTTAAAATGTTCTAATAACCCAAAACCCAAAAGAAGACAGCAAAAGGAAACAAGATCAACAAAGAGAAGGAACAGAAAACAAATAATAAAATAGTATACTGAAATCCAAATATATAAATAATTAAATCAATTTAAAATCATCTTAACATTCCAATTAAAAGACAGAGACTGAGAAAATAGATTTTAAAAAGACCTAACTATTAGGAAATTCTCAGGGGGGAAAAAGGAGACATATGTAATACTTTCAAAAATAAAGATTTTTTAGAAAAATTAAAAAGCAAAAAAAGAAATTCCCTTTGAATATAATAATGTGGAAAGAGTAAAAAAGGATGGAAAGATATACCATGCAAATACTAATCAAAAGAAAGTACGAGTGACTACATTAATGTCCACATAGACTTCAAAGCAAAGAAAATTGCCAAGGATAAAAAGAGAGATTATATGATAAAACATTAATTTGCCAAAAATACATAAGAATCCTAAAAAGGTACCCAACAAAAGAACTTCAGATAGTTAAAAAAAAACACAGAAAACTGACCAAATTGAAGAGTCCAAAGCAGTAACACCATAGGATCATATAATTGATGTAGAAAAAGCATTTCACAAATTTCAAAATCCATTCATAATAAAAATGCTCAGCAAAACTACAAACAGAAGAAAACTTCCTTAACTTGATAAAAGGCATCTGCAAAAAAACTAGAGCTTCACCCTGCCTGGTGCTGCTCAGTGGTTAGAGTGTCAGCCCACACACCGAAGGCTCATGGGTTCAATTCCTGGTCAAGGGCACCTACCTGGATTGCAGGTTTGATCTCTGGCCTAGTCAGGACACATGGGGGAGGCAACCAGTCGATGTTTTTCTCTCACATCAATGTTTCTCTCTTTCTCTCCCTTCCCCTATCTAAAATGAATATAAAAAAAATATCCTCAGATGAAAATTTAAAAAATTTTTTTAAACAGAACAAAAACAAAAACCTGGAGCTAACAACATGTACTTAGTAGCGAAAGACTAAATGCTTCCCTCAAGATAAGGAACTGGGAAGAAGGTAAGAATGCCCATTCCAACCACTCCTATTCAAAATTGTACTAGAAGTCCTAACCAGTGAAATAAGGCAAGAAAAAGAAATAAAAGGTCCCAGAAATTGACACAAGCCATTATGCTCAATTAATATTTGACAAGGGAGCCAAGAGCATACAATGGAGTCAAGACAGTCTCTTCAATAAATGGTGCTGGGAAAATTGGACAGGTACATGCAAAAAAATGAAACTAAATCACCAACTTACACCATACACAAGAATAAACTTAAAATGGATAAAAGACTTAAATGTAAGACGAGCAACCATAAAAGTCCTAGAAAAAACCATAGGCACCAAAATCTCAGGCATCTCTTGTAACAATATGTTTACCAATATATCTCCTAGGACAATGGGAACTAAGGAGAAAATAAGCAAATGGGACTGCATCAAAATAGAAAGGCAAGGAACTAGAATAGCCAAAACAATTTTGAAAATAACCTACATATGTAAGTTATCAGTTAACTAAACATTTTATGAAAGTAAATACCAAAAGGGAAAGGGGATGCTAAAAAGTAATGAGTAAAAAAAATGAGCAAATGAGTTATCCTGGAAACAATTTAAGGAATGCCCCCAAAGCCAACATCCAAAAGCTGCAAGCAAACAACCTCTTCATTACCTTCCACATAATCCTCCGCGATGTAGCTGTGCTCGTGCAGGATCTCCTCCATGCGGCTGAGTGTGATAGCTGCCAGGTGCCCAGGATACTTCAGCTGCAGGAGACGCTGGAGGTAGCCAGCTGCTTGACTTCCTCCCAGATTGATGCGTTTGCAATTTTTAGCATCTAACCTACAACCAAGAAATGGAAAACAACACTTACGTTTTTTAAAGAATAGTTTATTGATTTTTAGAGAAAGAGGAAGGGAGAAGAGAGAGAAACATCTTTTGGTTGCCTCCTATATGCCCCCTACCGGGAATGGAGCCCCAAACCCAGGCATGTGCCCTGACTGGGAATCCAACTAGCAACCGTTTAGTGCAAGTGATGACATCCACCCAGTTTAGCCACACCGGTCAGAGCAACAGCACTTATTTTTGACAGCATGAAAGAGAATATGGAGCATCTTTGGGGAAAAAGGGTAATTTAATGTAGATGAAGGAGGAGAAACAGACCAGCCGGGAGAACATAAAACCTTAGTTGGAAGGGACTTTAAAGTTCCCATAGTCCAACATCTTAACCAATGCAGACTTCCTAGTCCATATCTAGACAGACATGTCTAGCTTCTGGCAAGTTTCAGAAGGAAACCAGGTTCAATGGGAAGAACATGTACTCTGAAGTCAGACCCGCCATCAATTTCTCAAACTGTGGTCCTAGAACCAAGTATCTTAGAATTAGCTGAGGAAATGTTAAATGCACCAATTCTCAGGACTCATTTGCTCTGGGATGGTCTGGGAATTTGCATTTTAACAAGCTTCCCAGGTAACTCTAGACTTTTGAGACCCCTTTCCCTAAACACTCCACTTCTACTGACACAAACACATTAAGTAACCCCAGGTATATTGGCTTAGTGTAACTCCCTAAGACTACCAGGGCCCTTTCACATGAACTGAAGGGAAAGAGAACCAGAGTAACTTTGTGTTCTTAATGTGAGACAGTAACAGAGCACTAAGAAGTTGCTATATATTGATATGTCGCTGCTATATCACACCTCACCAGCAGATGCCAGCATAGAACAGGATATGCTCCAATCTGTTCATTTCTTAGCCTTCAGGTAAAATAATTTTCTCTCAATACAAGATAAAAATAATATCATCTTTAATTTTTACATATCGTTTTACATAATGTAGACAACTCTGTACAGGAGTGTTTGGTAATGTGTAAGAATTATTTTTCTTCATTAATTTTTGTAAAAATTTCAAGAGAAATTACTACTCTAGGACTCAATATATTCCACAGCATTTGTTTTAAGTTAAATGTTCATAGTGCTTTATAATTTACAAAGTACCATCATCTATCTACATTATCTCATTTCATCCTCAGAATAACCCTGAGCAATCAATTTTTCCCATTGTACATATTAGAAAACTAAGTGAAGAGGCTAGGTACCTCATCCTTGGCAGGACTACAAACCAGGCATTCAACTCCAAAGCTAGAACTCTTTTTTTTTTTTAAATATACATTTTTGTTGATTTCAGAGAGGAAGGGAGAGAGAAAGAGAGATAGCAACATCACTGATGAGAGAGAATCATTCATCAGCTGCCTCCTGCACACCCCCTATTGGGGATCAAGGCCACAACCTGGGCATATGCCCTTGACCAGAATCAAACCCGGGACCCTTCAATCCACAGGCCCACACTGAGCCAAACTGGCGAGGGCAAAACCAGGACTCTTTTCTTACATATCCCCTTTACTCAATGAGAAATCTCAGGAGACCATGATGCTGGCTCAGTCTTTCATCAGACAACAAAAGCCCAACTATAAAATAAGAACAGATCTTAGACATGACAGAAACTACCCTCACTTTTTATTCAACTCAAAAACATTTAATAAGTACCTATTATGTGCCAGGCACTGTACCTGAAAAAGGTCTAAACTATGGTGATTAAAGAGCTTTAAAAAAAAATAATACTATCTTGCCCTAACTGGTTTGGCTCAGTGGATAGAGCGTCAGCCTACAGACTCAAGGGTCCCAGGTTTGATTTCGGTCAAGGGCATGTACCTTGGTTGCAGGCACATCCCCAGTGCTAGCTATCTCACTATAAACCAGAATTATAAAATTCCACAATTGTGGATTTGGACCTCGGAGACCATCCACCTCAACTCCTTCCAAGAGGTCACAAAGAATGTAAGGTGAAGTTACTTACCCATAGTCACAAAGTGAGATAGGTCAGAGCTAAGCCCGGTGGCCAGTTCATGGTCCGGTACCTGTTCTTTCAACTCCACCTTTAAAACAGGCACCCAATAAACGTTTCCTGAATGCCTCTCAAAAGAGCACTCATGCCGTAAGTGCACTCACCTCCCTTCTAAGATGGGTAAAATATGTGTGCACTGGTAGCCAGATGAAATGATGAGCCCACTGGAAATCAAGGTCTTTGGCTTATTGTGGTAGAAGCTGAACAGGCTGTCTATTCCATAGGCAACCTTGGGAACCCCGTAGCACTCAAAAAGGAGCTCAGACATCATTTGTCGTGAATACAGTGGGTTGCACACCGCTTCTGTCAAAACGATGGGATGGTCAACACAGCCCTACTTTGAAAGAAAAGAACAAATAGATGATGGGTGATACAAGAATACTCTTCTTAAAGCATAAAAGAAACCAAAATCCTATTGCAGGGGCTGAATTTGCTTTTGGTCTCCAATCAAAAACCTGATCAGAAGCAACTGTAAAACATTCCTCTCATCTCTATGGGAAACGGTTTTGGAAAATATGAACGCAGAGTCAATTTAAGGTTAAGTCAAGCCCCTTCCAAACTATCAGCGAACCATATTGACTATCTTCAAAACAGCTCCAGAATCCATCCACTTCTTCCCCATTTCCCCACTCCCTGCTACCTCCCTCGGATCAGTCACCATCACCTCTCAGTTGGGTGCCTGCAACAGCCTCCTTGCTGGTCTCCCTATTCTATCTGTGACCCAGGCCAGGCCATTTCCCTTATAGCAGCTCCAGCGACCCTTCTGGAACGTAAGTCATGTCCCTCCTCTGCTCAACTCCAAGGCTCCTCAGTTCACTGGGCAAAAGCCTAGGTGTGTCAGGTGCCCCTCCTTACCTCTGAGTTCCTCTTCCACCTACTGCGGCCCTGCCCTCACCCGGCCGCCCTGCAGGTAGGATTAGGGCATCCATCCTTCTGCCCCAGGGCCTTGCACCGGTGGTTTCCTCCCACCGTCTGCAACACTATTCCTCCCTTGGATACTCCCGTGGCTTGCTCCCTCAACAACCGCCGTCAAGTCACGTTTTTCCTGAGTTGTGCCCTTGCCCTCTTATTGAAAAAAATACGTAACGTCTTCTCTCCTATCATGCCACAGAATCGATTACTTCATTCTACTTCTTGTCTGTCTGTCCATACTAGTTCCATACGGGTTTTGTGTTACATTCACCGATGTATTCCAAATGCCTAGAAAAGTGCCTGACATAAGTGCTCAATACATATCAGTTCATAAATGAATCTGCTAGCAAAGGAGCAACATGCCCGAATGTACGCTCCAAGAGGAAAGGAGTCTGGTTCTGTCCACGCTGCATCCCAAGCGCCTACGGCTTACACACGCTAGGAGCTTCGTGTTTGACGGCGCGACTAAATGAATGAATGACTAAATAACCATCAGCGCCACGGGAGGGACTATTATTTCTCTGAGGGCAGAGTGAGCGGAAACACGACCTCA